TATTCTCAGAGCTTTCTCCGCTGTAAATCAGACAGGTACAACATTTGTCATCGGGCTCCGTGCTGGAAAAACTAAATGAATATTCGCGATACTGTCTGGAGCAGATAAAGTGAGGAATGCTGTCTGCTGTTCGGCTATGGGACTGTCCATTTTGGGATTGTTATGCCTGATGTTTACTGTCTTAAACATGAAAAACATTATTATTTTATTTGAAACAGTTTGCAGTGGTCCAGAGTTATTCCTCATTTAACGTACGCATTCCAAGCATCCAAATTATTCAGAGCGATTATTTTATAAGCTAACAACAACTAGCATGCCAACGCACACTTTCTGATAAATACTTTCTCATTTGATGCAGACTGCGTGCGATTTATTTTGACCTCAGGAGCTTCTAATACGATTCATCTAAACTGGAGCAGGACACATTTTGCTCAAATACATGCATGGGAAAACATTTTGTACGGTATTTACAACTGACTTATTTTAAACTACTTTTTAAAAAATGTTTTTACTAAGGATGTAACAGTAACCAAAATATCGTGATATTGTATCGTCAAAAGTCTCACAATAATTCCGTGGGCTGTCACCATATATCGACTCACAAGTTTCTTTGCTTAAATGCATGGTTTTATAGTAGCAACAGCTTCTAAACATAGAGAACTACATATCCCATGATTCATTTCAGTGCAGACAACATGAAGAAATATGCTTTTTACTTGAATTTTTGGAATTATAACGGTAATAATTCACACCTAAATCTTGTCAAGGTATTAGTTCAAAGCATCCAGATTAGTCACTGCGATTATTTTATAAGCTAACAGCAACTAGCATGCTAACGCACACTTCCTGATAAATACCTTCTCAGTAGATGCAGACTGACTCAAGAGCTTGATATACACTATATAATTGATACTGGGGCAGGACACATTTTTCTCAAATACATGCATGGGAAAAAATGAGTACAGGTCCTATAAGGTCCTATTTTATTTACAACTGACTTATTTTAAACAACTTTTTTTTACTAGGGATGTAACAACAACCAAAATACTGTGATAATGTATCGTCAAAAGTCTCACAATAATATCGTGGGCTGTCACAATATATCGAATCACAAGTTTCTTTGCTTAAATACATGATTTTATAGTAGCAGCAGCTTATAAACATAGGGAACTACATATCCCAAGATTCATTTCAGTACAGACAACATGAAGATTTTACTTGAATTCTTGGGATTATGACAGTAAAAATTCACACCAAAATCTTGTCAAGGTGTTTTAAAAGCAAAAAAAGTATCCCATCTACGGTTATATTAGTCTCTTCAAAATATCACAATAAATATCGTACCGTGAGATCTGGATATCATTACATCCCTAGTTTTTACTGTTGAAAAATGGCTATAAATTATGTTTTCCACACAAATTTTATGACCTGGTAATCTGATTGTTCTTAATATTGTTTATTCTAACATATTAATAGATGTAAATGGGCGGAGATAGGGTTTAGGTGAAAACAGAAGGCCTCCAATGATAATACAGATTACTGAAACATGCATAAATCAACTGAAATGCAATTTTGTGTTATGTAATGATGAGAACATGGCTTTCTGAACATGGCTATCAGCTCATAAAAGTGAATTTTACATATTATGTCCGCTTTACAATGAATAACTGTAAAGTACTGAGATAGTAGCTAAATACCATAAACAAAAACTATCTCTACATCAAAAAAACCCATAATACTTCTGGGACCTAGATAGTGAAGCATGGTTTATTCATAAAATTATTTCGTGTGGTTGCTATTGCTATTGCAGTATTTCTGCTGACATCACACATACTAAAGGTCAGTAATAATGAATACAGATGGGGGTCAGCCAAAATGAATATTGTTAACCCTTCCACACCAGGAATATGTTTTACATAACCATGCAGAATCCAACCATAAAAGACAGAAACTCACTTTTTTCCATTTGAAAAGCTGAGAGTTGCGGCTTTCCGAGCATATTTCCAGCATGATCCTATGTCACACACACTCAGGACGTAGGGAAAACGAGTGTCCAATAGGAACTTTGTTTTCCACCAAACTTATGCACTCCATCCATTTTGATTGGCCCAAACTTTGCCAAAGAGTTTAGTGAGTCAAAATGGTCGACTGCTCTGACGTCTGTGTTCGTAATAATTGAAAAAGCCGCTCTAAGTTCAGTTATTTCTCAAATAAATGGCAAATTGTGCATCCCTTACTATTTTTATTTGAAAGGTTTATTTCAGTCTAAATGTCCAAATCCAAATGTAACAAACATGGAAATGCAGGAAATGATGTGGCTCTGTGCCCTGGACTTGACATGAGTTGTTTTCATCTCTGGCATCAGTAAAGTCATGGGGAGATTGCACTTTTTTTTTGTTTTTGTTTTGAGGCAATAAAGATATTTTTAGTTTACTTACAGGCTTGATATTTTGCGCTTTTGTTGCTAAGGCCCTAAATTACTGTACTGAAAAAAAGGATGTATAACACTTTGTTAGGGGTAAAACAGGAAGTTTTAATGGCAAAATTAAGAAAAAAATCCAGGTGACGACAAATGTGCTAAATTTGCCCGTAGGTCTGGAAGGGTTAAAAAGCAAATATTTATTGTAATACAGTGAGTTTTGACTCTTATCACAAACAGAAATGATCTGTCACAAGTTGAATCTAATAATTTCTACCCAGCAACAGTGATAGATTTGCCTCGGAACATACGGTACATTAAAGGTTGTATAGAAGATTTTCCAAGGAAAGAGAAATGCAGCGACTGTTTGTCCTTTTTTAAATGTTGCGCTTCGCACCTTTTCCCCTTCTCTTCTTCTTTCAGCAACGTCAAAAACTGACTTTCTTTTGCGGCGAACCGGTCGTGAATTCTTCTCTGCCATTAAAACAAAATTTGTGCAAACTGAGAGCTACAGTTCAAAAAAGACGCCAAGAACCGCTAAACATGAACCACGAACATAAACCACACAATCCCAGCGCGTCGGCAAGTCAGCGACGCTAGAAACGTCGGGAATTTGACTGACAACCTAACAGCCAATAGATAAAGAGGTAGCCTTGTTATCTATTGGCTGATGTTTATCTGCCCTCACTACGTCCACAGTTGATGGATTTTCATTCTTTTTTTTTTTTTTTTGGTCATCATAATTACAAGGCTGCTTCTTCTTTATAATTCTATTTTGAACTTTCATTGACAATTTGAAAAAATATTAAAAAAAATCCTCCATACAACCTTTAAGTATAATCTAAAATAACATATCTTTCTAAAGGTCTTTCACTTTGCTTCCTCTTGTTCTGCACTCACTAATGGTTTACAAGTAGCACATCGATATTTCCCTGACACCATATTTTCACGCACCCAAGACTTCAACTATATTTGGAATTTCAGTTCAATGGGTCTTGTGTGGCAGATACAGACCCTGTAAGTAGTTTGAAAGGATTTGGTGATAAACAAGAAGTAATACTCTACTTCACGCAAACTCCATGACATTTTTAAATATAGCCATAGATGTCTGGTCTTCCTCTAGGCCTCCTGTTTCCTGTGGATCTAACCTCAGCATATTTCTATATTCAGTAGACCTCTTCTGTACCATATACTGTATATTCACTCGCAGTAGTAGTAGAAGTAGTATCAGTAGTAGTGGCAGTTTAGGAGGTAGAGTTGTAGTAGCAATAGTTGCAGATAATTGTTTCGTTATTACTCTGATTAACAACTTGTTTGAAATAATACCTTGGAAATAATAAGAAATAGCTTTAAATAAGTGAAATCATTTTACAAATTAGAAAATAAAAATACATTTTATTCAAATAATGATTGCTGTTCTGAGGTCAAGTCATATCAACTGACACGTTCATGATTTGTTGTGTATTTTGAGTTACATTTTTGGCATAACAAACTTCATTAATAGTACTGCAACTCAAAAAGGCCAAGATCTGGAGACGGATGGGTTCCTGGCATAGATTGTACATATAAATGACCCTGGCTCCCATTGACTTAAAATGGAATATCCTCTTGTTCATATGTTCGTATTAACCCGCTGTACATGATCCTGATGGTTTTATTTTGCTATTTTGTCCATTTAAAAAATCCTATTCCTAATATGGAGTCTGGTTCCAAATTTGTTCGTATAACTGCTAACATCGTGAGATTCGATTGACGGGAGAGGAGCATTATGGGTGACGCACAGTTGCTCAATCCACTTCTTTACACAGTCTATGGTAATCCCTGTATCATTCGTTCATTCATTTTTCAATATAAAGCCAAGAATAAGAAAAAAAAAAAAACAGTTTTCTTCATTATTTGTCTCAATCTCTGTCAAAAACAAAGTGAAAAAATGGATAACATTTCTTTTTTTTTTTTCAGTTTTCGATTTTGTGTTTAAACCATGACTTAAACTGTGCTGCCAGACTTTTGCGCCCCATATGGACGGAACAGGACTAAACCAGGTTCGACCAGACTGGAACCACACCGGGAGTGAGGCCAGGACTGAGACCAGGAACAGGACTAGAACTGAGACCGGGACTGAGACCGGGACTGAGACCGGGACTGAAAACGGTTTAGTCCTGGTTCAGTCCTGGTTCAGTCCTGGTTCAGTCCGTATGCGGCACAAACGTCTGGCATCGCAGTTTAAGTCACAAAAATGGGAATTATCCATTATCGTTATCCGTTTTTTTTTTCATTTGGGTTTTGGAGACAAATAATGACGAAAACAGTTATTTTTTTCATTTTCTTATTTTTGGTTTTATATTGAAAAACAAATGAACGAATGATACACAGATTTATGATCCCCACTCACTGCACGCGAAGCATGCGTCAAATGTTACTGAGACAATGAAGTGTATCTTAACCTTATTTTCTGTGTGTCTCCCCAGGTCATCCCTCTTGCCCCTCCCCGCCATCGTGCCGAGCTGCCCCGGGACGTCTCTCTGTGTATGTGGCTGCCCAGCATGCCTCTATGTTCAGCCGAAGCACCAGCCGCAGCATCATGGAAGTGAAGGAGCGCAGGCCCTACTGCTCACTCACCAAAGGCCGCAAGGACAGCCACGGGCCCTACACCGGTGAGGACACAAATACAACAAATAACCTCATACAAATAAATATAAAATGTAAAAATTTATTAAATATAAATACAAATATAAATAAAAAAATAAAAAATAAAATGAGGACAACTACACTGGTTAGAAAATAAATGCAAGAAATAAATATGTGCAAATAAGTAAGTGTAACAATTAATTAAATGTACGTAAAAAATATCATTATTAATGTATAAAAAAAAAATTTAAAAAAAAGAAAAGAAAAAGAGGAAAGTACCATGTAGTGAGAAAATAAATAAATAAAAAATAAATATGAGTAAAAATAAATTAAATGTAAATGCAAATATAAATGCAGTGTAAAAAAAATATAATAAAACAAGAGAAAAGAAGAAAAAAATAAAATAAAATATATAAATATAAAAATAAATTAAATGCAAATAAAAATAGAAATTAAATGCAAATAAAAAAAATAATAATACAAGGATAATAATAAACAATAAAATAATAAACAAAGGACAAATATGGGCCCTACACTGGTGAGAAAAAAAAATTAAAAAAAATAATAAAACAAAATATAGGCAACTGCTTTCCCTACAATGGAGAGACAGCAAATAAATAAATAAATAAATGAAAGGACAAGGAGCGGCCCTGCACTGTTGAGTTGGGGGAGAATTACCCTTATTTAATCGAGATGTATTATTGAGGATGACCCGCCATTAAAAACTGATGAATATGATTTATGGTTTTAAAATTATGCAGGGTCTCTGCCTATGACTTCACCAATCTGGGACATTTCAAATCAAATAAAATAATAACTTTTTTTTTTTTTTTAAGATATGTTTTTACCAAGAAAAAACATATTTTTTTTCAATGTGTTCTTCAAATCCAGTGCAGCTCACTCCCATTTGTCACGTCTCGTTTCTAAGGCCTGGGCCGTGCCATTTAAAACACATTTTTCAGTTGCAGTGGCTTTGGCTGGGCAGCACATCTGGTGGTGATCAGGGCCACTGAGCTCCGCAGCACAGATCATTCTCTCTAAAGAGTCCGTGAGCGGGGTTACAGGGGTCAAACGTCAGGCGCGGTGAGGGTGCTGTGGGTGCTCTGCGGTTGTGGTTGGGTGCATTTCGACGGTGCGGGACATGAGTGAGGCTCAAGTCAAATGAGGCAGTGCTGATCACCTGCTCTGTTCTGTTGTTTTATGAAGACAAGCCCAAAAATGATGTTCTGCATCCGTAAGCTTTTAGGCAGTCTTTAGTTTTGGACAGTTGCCTCTTATTCATGGTGTTACAAGCAAAAGGGTGTGACGAACTAATGTCTGTAGATTTTATAGCGGCGATCCCCAGTGTTGTTAGGATAAGTAATGGTCCTTTTTGAATTTTGGACAGAACAATCATGTGTGACTACTGAATAAATTACAGAAATGTACTCCTATAAAAGTAAGAATGCCCCTCACTACGGCTGTGCTATTAACTGAATTTTGGTCGCGATTTCGATTTTTGTGTCAAACGATCTCCAAACTCATATAATCGAGTTGAAACTATTTAAAGCTTAAAGTTTTTTGGGGGGATATTTTATATAAACAAGTATATTTATTTTATGTTTTAAATGTAGAGATTGTAAAATAGCTGTATATATAGTTTATTTTGGATATATTTATGATTTTCTATGCCTTATTTCATGTTCAAGTATTTGAATTTGAATTTATTTGGAGGATAAGCCCCTTGAGATGTCTCGCCATCTCGTTTTCGACGGGGTCCTCATAATTACAACAACAAAAGACAGATAGAGTAGGGCAGACAGTAGGATACATACATTCAAATAAGCATCAAAACAACAAAATCAACACAACCACACACACACTCACTCACACTTTGACACATAATAAATCAAATTGAGCAAAAAAAATAAGGCAGGGTTCAAAGATAATCACCAAAAACAACAAAATGCACAACAAAATTCAACAAAAACAATGACATGGGTTCTGTAAATATTGCACCAGAGCATTTTTAAATGACGGGACAGAGGTTAATGCACGAATCGATGAGGGAAGACAGTTCCAATCAGAGGGGCTTTATATTTAAATGAGAGTTTTCCTATTTGTTTTTTGACTCTTGGGACAACAAAAAATATCTGATCTGCATTACGTAAACTGTAAGAGGATCTGAATGGAATTAAATACTGTTTGAGATATTCAGGAAAACTGAGATGAATGCATTTAAAGATAAATCATAACCAGTGAAGTTGATGTCAGGAGGACAGAGTGAGCAGGACAGTATATTGTATTCATTTTATGTTTTATTCTCAATCTGAAAGTTTTGCATAAATTATCAATAATAAACTGTATTTTTTGAGAGAGAAATGCTGAATAAATGCATTGTGTAACTAAAAAAATAATTGTTTGAATAATCGTAATTTCAATATTGACCAAAATAATCGTGATCATGATTTTTTTTCCATAATCGAGCAGCCCTAAACCTCACTGTTAATACCAAATTGTTAAAGTATTAGAATATAATTTCGTTAACAGGTCTTTTACAGTTTAGTCTGGTTATATTAGGAGCATAGGAAATATTGGAATATATAGAGCAGGAGTGTCAAACTCAAATTCACAGAGGACCAAATTAAAAACTGGGACTAAGTTGTGGGTCAAACTAAATATTTACTGAAAAATTTCAACAACATCTGCATGTTTTCTCTTCTTTTGAGATATATAATGTTAAACCTTTGAAACATTGTTAAATATTGAATCCAAAACGAGCATAATATAAATTAATAACATAATTTTAAATCATCTGTAGCGGACGGGCCAGCTCTAATACATATTTGATATGATCTCGTGGGCCAAATATAATTATATTATGGGCCAAATTTGGCCCCCGTGCCTGAGTTTGACGTGTCTGATATAGACAATCATCTTAAAAAATAAAACTAAATAATAGTAAGATATTTATTTTACATTTTTTTGCAGTATTTTATAATCAATTGAGACACTCACCTCTACTTTGTATACAGTTATCTTTGTAAATTAGACAAAAAAAAAAAAAAAATCTCAATCGCAACTTCTCTCACACACACACACACACAGACACACGACTTTATCTCTGAAACACAGGTGAAAAGCAAACAAGAAAAAAACAAAAAAAAATCATGAAAGTCGCATGTTGTGTTTTTTTATTTTTATTTTTTTGACAAATGACTCATCCATCATAGGAAGTTTCACAGGAAGAAGTGAAATACCAGATTAAGATGGAAGAATGTTCCGTCGCTTCTGTATCTATTTATACTGCGCATGAGTAAGTAAATGTATTCAAGTGTTGTGCGGCAGGTGGGGGATGAGTCAGAGCGTCCATGTGTACCGCTGTGTACTGATGACATCACATCCTTGTTTAAGCCTCTAGTCTTGGGTAAATGAAATACATGTCTATAATTGAGGTATCATTTGTGATTTTTTTTTTAGGGGGGTTTCTCCAATAAATAAATATAGTTGTACATCCTGGAATGTATCTTAAGCCTCTGTTCATTCCAAAGAAAAATAACAAAAACCACTGAAAACGTGCTTAAAGTGTGCTCCAGTCACGATGTTTTTTTATGGTCTGACTAAACGAGAGAGGAGCCAGAGCCGCGCGGACTACAGTTTGATTTGTAGCATGGAACTTTTCTGCTCATTCTGATCTGCGAGAGGAAAAAGGCGACTCCCCCCTCCTCTCCTGTTCTCTCGCTGTCCTCCCCGGTCGCTCCGTGAACAAAGAAGTGTGGCTGTGCAGTGTGTAGCCCTGTTAATGCAGAGAATGAAGTTATGTGTGTGTGGGGAGCTTGTCCCGCTGCGCTTAAAAGTAAATTTAATGGAACTATTAATTATATTCAAATAAGGCTCTTATATTCTGAAATGAAGTCACATAAAATCAGATATTAACATTTTGCTGTGTAACATTTTTGACATGAGAAAACCCTGGAATAGCTCGGCCTGTCGTGCTAAGACATTTTAAAGTTTGATATATTTATCTATGGAGTAAGAAAGCTTTCAGAAATATATATAGAAATATAGAATAGAAATCCGTGCATATTTGGCTGTAGATGCCCATAAAATAAATATTTGTAAACTCTGGAATGAGTCCAGTCGTACATAAAATGTATTGTGTGTATTTTATTCATCAGAATGCGAATTGAAAAGTTATGACATCAAGAATTACAATCACGAAATGAAAATTTACGATTACGCTTTCAGTCAGTCTTAACCTTCATCTCAGCTGCTTTTCTTGCTGCTCGCTGTGTCTGTAGTCGTGAATGTTTTAATCTAAACATGCAGAGAACGCTGATATTTGTTAATTAACCCTGGGATAACGTTACGTCTGATGTTTGCCAACTGGCTCTACTCTGTTATCTACTAAGATATAGGTGCAATTTCCCGTTCAGAGGAGGGATTTCTGCACAGTATTACACAGCAGTGTTCAGTTCCCGAATTGAATGTGGCAAGACAAGACATTTTTACAATACATTTTAATTGACCCACTTGTTGGTCGCTGTTGTAGCTCCTTGTTGTGCCATTACTCCTCTGCTACAACTTAAGCATGCGCAGTCTTGATCTCGAGCGATGTTTCTTCTGCTCGATAAACTACCACCAGGGCGGGGTCAGAGGAACTGTCTTCTTGTAATACTTTCAGCCCATCTCAAACCGTGTCACGTTGGTATTGCAGTGCGGATTGCAAAATGTCCTAAAATTTGTTCTGCAACTGGTGGACAACTGCAGACAACACAGATATCACAAGATTCTGGAAACGTGTCTGTAGTAGTGGGAAAATATGTGTATTTGTGTGTACTAGTGCTATGGAGTAAGAAAGTTTTCAGAAATATTTGTGTGCATAGAATAGAAATCGGTGTATATTTGTCTGTAGTTGAGCATAAAATAAATATTCATAAACTCTTGAATGAGTCCAGTCGTAAATAAAACGTGTCGCGTGTATTTAATCCATCAGAATATGAACTGAAAAGTTACGACATCAAGAATTATAATCATAAAATGAAAATTTACGAATACGCTTTATTAAGTACGATTGCGAATTCACAGACGCGATCGAGACTTTTGCAGCGCATATGGACCAAACCCGGATTACACCAGGACTAATAAATAATGTCTGTGAAGTGATGATGTATTTTTGACAGTAAAGTCGCGTCTGTGAATTCGCATTCACACTGAAGAAAGCGTAATTGTAAATTTTCATTTTGTGATTGTAATTCTTGACATCATAACTTTTCAATTCATATTCTGATGGATAAAATACACACAATATATTTTATGTACGACTGGACTCATTCGAGAGTTTACGAATATTTATTTTATGCTCAACTACAGACAAATATGCACGGATTTCCCAAATGCGCACAGATTTCTCTTCTATGCGCATGAATATTTCTGAAAGCTTTCTTACTCCATATTTATCTTTATATTTTTACAAGTAATTAGAGATGATAACACTGAAACTAATCTATGTCACTAACACCAAAACCGAAGACAAGATTTATGCCACAAAAAAATTTCAACAAAAGAAGAAACAGCAGCATGCAACACTTTAGTACTTAGTTATTATTTACTTAGTTATTATTTGTCATAGAAGTTATTTATTCAACCACAAATGTCCAAGTCGTGCAAAGAAAATGTGCAAAAGATAAATATTTACTCCAAAAAAATCTCATCCATCAAATATTGAAGTCCACATTTATTGTATTTATCATGACCCAGGCCTAGTCATTTCAAATAAGACACAGAAAGTAAATAAATGTATAAATCAACAAGTGTGTTTGTGTGTGTCTAGGTTCTTCTGGGGACAGTGAGGATTGTGTTCTGAGCTCTCAGGGACTCCGCGTCCCCACACAAAAGTCCTACTCCTCCAGCGAGACGCTCAAGGCCTTCGACCAGCACCAGGACCAGACCAGGTTTCACACTCGGCACTTCGCAGGAACATGCATTCATTTCATCGTCTCATCTTTTACATGCAAAAATTTTTTATATATCTGCTCTAACTTATTTTCACTGTCTTCTTGAACATGTGACAAACACAACTCATCGATTTTAAGTGGTCCAAAAGTATTATTACGGATTACTCACTCAAGTGCTTGTCACAAATTTCAGAAGCCGGACCGGAGTTCTGACATCACGTTCATGTAAACAACAACTAGCATTCTAACACACACTTCCTGATTCACTGGAAATAAAACACCTTATAATTAAAAGTAGACAGCCGACACCATACAGACTCATTTTGACCCTAAGATCTGCTTTCACCATATGGTAGAGCAACTACATGGAAACACAAATGTTACCTTTTCACAATTATTCATTATGCTTTATTTTATTGATTTAAAGTTAAAAGATTGAAAGTCACGGTTACGCATACAATTTAGTTATTCATGGACTCATAATAAGTTCAAATTTCTGGGGAAAAAATGTAATAGAGTCGGATGTGCAAATTCGTGAACGGAACATTAAATATTTGTGTCTTGTTGTGTGTCAGGTTACTGTACGGAACAACCAAAGGACACAAAGAAATGGTGCGCCACGACCAGGACGAATACACCAGACCAGGTGAGAAACAGTCAAGACATGGAAGAAATATAACATTATTACATTAGCATTATATTTCTTTTTTTATATCTTTTATATTTCTATTTCTTTTATATCTATTTTTCCAAATAAATACAATATGAACAGTGTTTATTATGTTTTTGCTGTGACAGTTTTTAGTTGAGATTACTGTCATCGCCTAATCACGATTCTCAAACCAAGGAATAGAATCGATAGGTGTGTAACGATATCCAAGTCTCACGATACGATCTCATCACAGTATGAACCTCATGGTACGATATTTATTGCGATATCGTGGGAAAGCTCACAATATGGTGGGGACGCTCATGATTAGGGATGTAACAATATCCAAATCTTTCGGTATGATATTTTCACAATATACATCACACGGTACGATATTTGTGATGTGATATGTTGTGGAGGCTGAACAGCTAAAACTATAAATATGCAAATTTTTTCTCCTAAAATGCCTTGACAAGACTTAATCCAAAGAACTAAGACTTAAAAGTGTTTAGAACTATTATTTCTTCATGTAGTTTATGCTGAAATAGAGCAAAATATCACTGTCTATGTAGTTCCCTCTGTCTTATTTTTAGTTATTGCTGCTCCTCAGGGTAGCTGCAGGGTCTCAAACGTCTTAAAAAGGTCTTAAATTTCATGTTCCTAAATTAAGGCCTTAAATTATCTCGTCCAAGTCTTATTTTTTTTCACAAAGGTCTTAAATTTCATTAACCTATTTGTTTTGTAAACTCAACTGGGCTGCACTGTGATGTTAAATGGAGGGAGGAAAAAAACAACAACGTGAAATCGTGTAACGTGAATGAACGTCTAATTTGGATTATGCACACACGATACTTTGGTTTCTGGCACCGGCAGCAATGGGTAAACAATCAGTACAGTGGAGGAAGATGTTGATTGGATCATGGGGAAATGGAGGTTTAATCCACAGTGGCTCTTAGATTCTAGATATAGTAGTTGGTTGGTCATTATTAGAACTGAATCTGGGGGTTTTGCCCGCGTAATGGGTGCAATGTTGGTCTTAATTTTCAGTTAAGTGGTCTTAAAAAGGTCTTTAAAAAGTCTTAAATTTGAGGTAGTCAAACCTGGGATACCATGCTCTATAACTCTTAATTAAAGCAAAGAGACTTAATTAATTCGATATATATTGTGATGGTCCATGATATTATTGTGAGAACAATATTTTGGTTATTGTTACATCACTAATAATCGATACTCAGTAGTGCAATGAAGATAAAAACACTCTTTATTGAGAAATTAGAATGTGATTTTCGTCCAGGTATGTTCCGTAGTGGTCCATGGGCGTATAATAGTTGATGTGATCTTATACTTCTTCTGATACAGCTCAAGATCGTTCTAAAACTATTCAGGAAAGGTTCATTTCTGTCCCGTTAATATGACTGTATTAGTATCGATGCTTGTTCAAATGAGTATCTAGTTTTAAACCATTAGCATTTCTTGTTTTAGTGGAAATTTTCCTTACAAGGCCTTTCCTCACAACAACGATGTACGATTATAAATGTAGAAGCAGCAAGCACACAGCTGCAGACATACAAGGATCTATTTGACTTAATACAGTATTCACATATAGTTGTGTTGAGTTGGCAGGATTTGTGTTCTCTTGAGCCTCGTTCTGTCACAGCCCTCACAAAGAGCGCCGGTCTGGGCCTACAGAGAACTGGACTTTTTGTCTTTTATTGCGTAACGGTTCACTCAGTGCTCCTGATTGGGTCCTGGGCTAGTCCTGGTTTAGTCTAATTCTTTAGTGCTCATTTAGTCCTTGGTTATTCTTGGTCTAGTCCTGGTTTAGTCCTGGTTTAGTCTAGTTTTTTAGTCCTTGTTTAGTCTTGGTCTAGTCCTGGTTTAGTCTAGTTCTTTAGTCCTGGTTTAGTCTTGGTCTAGTCCTGGTTTAGTCTAGTTCTTTAGTCCTGGTTTAGTCCTGGTTTAGTCTTGGACTAGTCCTGGTTTAGTCTTGGACTAGTCCTGGTTTAGTCTAGTTCTTTGCTCCTCGTTTAGTCCTGGTTTAGTCCTGGTTTAGTCTTGGTCTAGTCCTGGTTTAGTCTAGTTCTTTAGTCCTTGTTTAGTCTAGTTCTTTAGTCCTTGGTTAGTCTTGGTCTAGTCCTGGTTTAGTCTAGTTCTTTAGTCCTGGTTTAGTCTTGGTCTAGTCCTGGTTTAGTCTAGTTCTTTAGTCCTCGTTTAGTCTTGGTCTAGTCCTGGTTTAGTCTAGTTCTTTAGTCCTGGTTTAGTCTTGGTCTAGTCTGTTTAGTCTAGTTCTTTAGTCCTTGTTTAGTCTTGGTCTAGTCCTGGTTTAGTCTAGTTCTTTAGTCCTTGTTTAGTCTTGGTCTAGTCCTGGTTTAGTCTAGTTCTTTAGTCCTGGTTTAGTCCTGGTTTAGTCTTGGTCTAGTCCTGGTTTAGTCTTGTGTTTTAGTCCTCGTTTAGTCTTGGTCTAGTCCTGGTTTTGTCTAGTTCTTTAGTCCTCATTTAGTCTTGGTTTAGTCTTGGTCTAGTCCTGGTTTAGTCCTTAGTCCAGGTTTGGTTCCACAGTGGTTCCATACTCCCAGTTGTTTCATGTGTGCTCGTAAGAACGCGGCCTCAGCCTCTGAAGTGTTATTGCAGAAGATGAGTTAGAATTATGGATTTTTCCTATACAGAATTTATCATTTCTATAAAGGTTTTCACAGCTGACAACCAAAAGTACTATTATTTTTTTATGTTATTGTTTCGTGCTTTACTATCTCAAAAAACTCTCTTTCAGTTACTGAGCAAAAACTATCTCAATATTTTAAAACAATTGTGAAAAACCTTCTTATACAAATCACTATATGGTTATTATGTGAACCACCTTTTGCTTTTCTCTTTTGTATGATTTTTAAAATTTATTATTTTGTTTTTACCTTGCCCCAGTTACCCCATTTTTAAATTATTTTGTTGAACATTTGAACTAGGGATGGGCATTCGATTAAATTTTCTTAGTCGATCGTTGGGAGAATTAACGATAGATTATCAATTAATCATTAAAGTTTTTATATTAAAATGATCATCATTATTATTACTATCTGCACTACTAATCTGCATAAATAAATTCAACTTTATGACATCAGCCCATTTGAGATTATAATGTGTTTAATGCAGCTTTGTGCTAAAACCACATGGTTAATTTGCATAAACTAAGAAAAAAACGGCTCTTGTGCGCTGATGCAGTCAACTTCTGTCGGACTAAAGGACATGACTCAGTGGAATATAGGACAGGGTGACCATATTTGCGAACACTGTTAGGGGGGGGTGGGAGGTGGGGCCTCGTCATCGACATTGAGATACTCTCACCTGGCAAAGCTGTGTCCTGGTGCTTTGAGGTCCCTGGCACCACCACTGGACACTGAAACATATGTGCTGCTTTGTACACTGTGCACATGGCCTGCCACTTGTCTCGACCGAGGCGGAAAGTGGGGAATTTCTTGTACAAGTCATCATTAAATGCGTATTTGTGCTACGGCGTGTTGCAAGCTGACCGACTGTTTGTGTCTGCTCGCTCCCTCTGAGTGCACAGAGAGCTACAAGAGCCGCTCAGTTTAATGGCCCAGTGAAAGGTCATGAAAACCCGGACATTTGCATCACTTTATAAAAAAAAAAAAAAAAAAACAGACGGCCAGAACAGGACATGGAAAACTGACATCTCCGGGAAAAAATGAAAAGTGTCGATTAAAAATGAACGTGATCGACGAAATTCTTAATGATCAATTATCGAGTAATCGACTAATCATGCCCATCCCTAATTTGAACATTCACTAAAGGCCATACGTCTCTTATTTCAAGGATGTACAAAATCCTTCACTTGTGCCACTTTTGTTTTTCGAAGAAATTTCGTTTTGGACCTGACATGTTTGAATACCAAAGCCTTAGTAATAATAAAAATGTAAAGTAATCATAAAAATGTTTTCTACAATTTTGACATTTTGTTGCCGACGTCGTTCTTTGGTGCCAATTAGCAGCAAGTCAATATTTGAGAAATAAAAAAAAAAATCATAATTACTCCATCATCTTTTCTTTGCCGCCCTAATGAAGCTCATTAAAATTAATACAACTTTTAATTGAACGCAGCTCTCGTTATCTATTGTTGTACCATTAATTAACTCATTAACTAAGCCTTTTTAAACATTATTTTTTAATTATTTGCCGATCAAAGATGAATGAAGGTATTTTTAATGAACATTATTTTTCCTCTCATTAATTTGAAAATATATTAGTGACAATTTCAAATGACATTTTTGTATTTCAAATTCCTTTTGAGTGACATTTCAAACTAATGAAATAAATGTTATATTAAAACAACAATAATTCATCATTTCTGAACATAGAATTATTATTGTTTTCTTTGGTCATATAAATATAACAATACAGCAAAATATTTGTTTCATTCAATACATTTAGTTTGATTCTTTCAGAAATATAAGGATAGCTGTTGAAGTATTTTTAGTAGGCACTTTTTTGAAGTTTAAGCCATGTTAAAATGTAGTTTCCTCCTCAAAAACAGACTTAGAGTTGTGTTTTGTTTCATTTACATGTTTGAGTAATGCTCTGTTCCACCTTGTGATGTTATGAAATGTTAGTTTTTCGAGTTAACGGTAAACTTTTAAATTTTGTTCAGCAGAAACTGGATATTTGAGGGCTAAATCATCCAAATGATTCTAGTGAAGATGTTTGGAGTTTCAAAACACAGTGGAGCACTTCCTGTATTACAACATAACATCATCAAGGTGAAGTGTTTTCCGTTTAAGAGAAGGCCTAAAAATGCAGTGTTAACCATGTGAATGAAACAAAACACAACTCCAGGTATGTTTTTGATGAAGAAACATTGTAACATAGACCAGAAAATATCGTAATATGAGGCCATTAACATAATTAAATAGACGTTGCCTGATTGGTCTTTGTAAATAATGGTGCTGTAGTTTTAATAATAGGCTGGCCTACAGCTCTGTAATCTGTCACTCACTTGTAATGAGACCTCAGAGCAACGCACTGATCAGCACCTGCCTGAGGAACACACTCCATCACTTTTATGTTTACACCTAAAAGTGATGGAGTTTACTTTCACTATCTATCATTTACAGATATTATTTTTGATGTTATTTTATCTAATTTGAATATTTTCTACATGATGTCAAGTGGAGTTACTTTTACAGATTCCTATCTAGTTATATTAGTTGTAGCGTGCTAACATTCCATCAGTCATGTCCAATTTTAATTTGTAATTTTTGTATAATTTGCATTTTGCATGTCTAGGATTGTACATTTAATCTATGGTAGCAGTGGAAGTACTAGTGGTAGTAGCAGTAATGATATTTTGCATCGCTTATATATTTTATAGGTGAACGTTGAGGCGTCATAGTAATAATATAGTAGAAGCAGCATTAGTATTAGTATGTAGTAGTAGTAGTAGTAGTAGTAGTAGTAGTAGTAGTAGCAGCAGCAGCAGCAGCAGCAGCAGCAGCAGCAGTAGCAGCAGTAGCAGTAGTAGCAGCGGCATTAGAGTATTAGTATGTAGGAGTAGTAGTAGTAATAGTTGCAGCAGCATTAGTATTAGTATGTTGTAGTAGTAGTAGTAGTAGCAGTAGTAGTAGTAGTAGTAGTAGTAGTAGTAGTAGTAGTAGTAGTAGTAGTAGTAGTAGTAGTAGTAGTAGTAGTAGTAGTAGTAGTAGTAGTTATAGTAGTAGTAATAGTAGTAGTAGTAGTAGTAGTAGTAGTTGTTGTTGTTGTAATTGTAGTTGTAGTTGTAGTAGTAGTAGTTGTAGTAGTAGTAGTAGTAGTAGTAGTAGTAGTAGTAGTAGTAGTAGTAGTAGTAGTAGTAGTAGTTATAGTAGTAGTTAGTAGTAGTAGTTGTAGTAGTAGTAGTGTAGTAGTGTAGTTGTAGTAGTATGTAGTAGTAGTAGTAGTAGTAGTAGTTGTTGTAGTAGTAGTAGTAGTAGTAGTAGTAGTAGTAGTAGTAGTAGTAGTAGTAGTAGTAGCAATATATGATGTCCCTATTTTGTTTGGGTGTGTGTGTATGTATGTGTGTATTTTTTTTCTTTCAGTATCTGCAGTATATGTAGTTGTAGTATCTGTAGAAGTTGTAGTAGTAGTAGTAGTAGTAGTAGCAGCAGCATTTGTATTAGTATGGACTAGTATTTGTAGTAGTAGCAGTGGTAGTAATAGTAGTAGTAGTAGTAGTAATATATGATGTCCCTATTTTGTTTGTGTGCATGTGTATGTGTGTATTTTTATTTTTTTTCAGTGTCTATAGTATCTGTATTTTTAGTATAAGTACTAGTGGTAGTAGTAATTGTAGTAGTAGTTGTAGTATCAGCAGTATTAATAGTTATCATTACTTATATATTTTGCAGGTGAGTGTTAATAGTACACAGAGGTAATAGTAATAGTAGTAAGATAATAGTAAGATAGTACGTGTAGTTGTGGTAGTATTAGTGGTAATAGCTGCATTAGCATTAGTGTTATTAGTAATAGTAAGTAGTAAGTGTTAGTAATAGTTGTGGTAGTATTAGTAATAAAAGTTTGATTGTTGTTGATCTGTTTTATGTCTTGTGTCATTCAGGTCAGCACTTCAGCCTTCGTCAGCTGGGCATCTGTGAGCCTCCTCCTCCTCGCCGGGGCCTGGCCTTCTGCTCGGAGATGGGCCTTCCTCACAGGGGCTTCTCGGTGGGCACGTGTCCGGACGTGGAGCCCGACAGCGGGGCAGTGATGTCTCCGGAGAGGGCCATGAGGCTGTGGGGGCGCGGGGGCCTGGGCAAGACCTCCGGACGCAGCTCCTGTCTGTCCAGCCGCTCCAACTCCGTGCTCACCCTCACCGACACCGAGCACGAGAACAAGTCGGACAGCGACAATGGTAGGAAAAAGATCTATTTATGTTGCCTTATCTCACATACACTACTGCATCCAAGTACTACACCCTACATATATTCTGCGTACAAGAGAACAAGTCTGACAGCGACAATGGTAGGAACATCATCTACATATCTATAAATCTATATCTATGTCAACTTAAGATCTATTTGCGCGGGATTAGTTTTACCTGTGGACCTTTGGTGATTTGTAATAACTGCGGAGGACACCTGAGATCTTAATCCCTTGCAAATGCGCCATGTCTGTAATTTGTAAAGTAAAAATTCCGCCGCAAATGACCTACTATATTCTGCCAAACACACACTTCCGGTGATACTAGTCCCGTTAATCTGCATCTCAGAGTTTGTTGAAATTGCACGCCTTTTCTATCTCTTTCTTGCCATGTTCTTTTCGCTTTCAGTCTCAGTCAATGCCAGTAAAAAAGAGTAATTTACTGACTTTGTTTATTTTGTGCAAGTAACACCGAGGTGGGTCTGGTAATTTGCAAATTACCTGCCGTCCCCAGGTTGTATTTATCCCATACAAATAGGGCTTTAAATTAGATTAGATTAGAAATACTTTATTATACCAAAGGAAATTCATTTCACGTAGTACTAATAAACTTGGTAGTAACATAATAATAACATAATAGCAGTAACATAAATAGTTTTGCACATACACTACTGCTTCCAAGTACACCTTCATATAGTTTACATACAAGAAGTCTGACAGTGACAATGGTAGGAACATCATCTATAAATCTATATATCTATAACTATGTCACCTTAAGCCGTATTTGCACGGGATTAATTTTACCTGTGGACCTTTGGTGATTTGAAATAATTGCAGAGGACACCTGAGATCTTAATCCCACGTCTGTAATTTGTAAAGTAAAAATTCCACCGCAAATTACTCACTATATTTCACCAAACACACACTTCCGGTGATACTAGTCCCGTGCGAATCTACATCTCAGTGTTTGTTGTAATTGCCTTTTCTATCTCTTTCTTTTCTTGCCTCGTTTTGCCTTTTCGCTTTCAGTCTCAGTCAATGTCAGTGAAAAAGAGTGATCTACGGATTTAGGTTATCCTGTGCAAGTAACACTGAGGTGGCGCGGTAATTTGCAAATTACCGGACGTCCCCAGGTTGTATTTATCCCGTACGAATAGGGCTTTAGATTAGATTAGAAATACTTTATTATACCAAAGGAAATTCATTTCACGCAGTGCTAATAAACTTAATAATAACGTAATAATAACATAGTAGCAGTAACATAAATAGTTTTACACATAAAGTACTGCATCCGAGTACACCTACATATAGTGTACACACACAGTGACAATGGTACGAACATCATCTGCATATCTATAAATCTGTAACTACGTCACCTTAAACCCTATCTGCACGGGATTAGTTTTACCTGTGGACCTTTGGTGATTTGTAATAACTGCGAAAGGACGCCTGAGATCTTAATCCCATGTCTGTAATTTGTAAAGTAAAAATTCCTCTGCAAATTACTCACGATATTTCACCAAACACACACTTCCGGTGATACTAGTCCCGTACGAATCTACATCTTAGTGTTTGTTTTTTCTGTCTCTTTCTGTTCTTGCCTCGTTCTTTTCGCTTCCAATCTCTGTCATTGTCAGTAAAAAAGAGTAATTTACGGTCTTCGTTTATCCTGTGCGAATGTGCTGCAAGTAACACCGAGGTGGGACGGTAATTTGCAAATTACCAGACGTCCCCAGGTTGTACTTATCCCATACGAATAGGGCTTTAGATTAGATTAGAAATACTTTATTATACCAAAGGAAATATATTACAGTATAGTACAATACATACATCCATAATAACAGCATAATAATAACATCATAACTGTAACATAAATTGTACATCCAAGTACCCCACACCTTATGTATTACTCTGTATACAAGGGACAAAGTCAGACTACAACAATGGTCGGGGCATCCTTTATAAATCTATCATACTGCCTACATCCTTTACTTTAGGGCATCAACAAGGGACCTATTGCCCTACACTCTATATATACTCTACATACAGGGGTGTCCAAACTGAATTGGCTCAGAGATCGCAGGAAATACTTTTAACTGCAAAGCAATTCCACCGTAACGTCAATGACACCCGATCCTAAAACGGACGCTCCGAGCTTTATTAACGGTACATTGGCTCTGTCATAACTATGTGAAATGCACCCATCTGAATAATTCACTGTATTGAACACCTGCCTCTGGCCTCTGCTCCGAATATATTTCATTACGCTTCCCTTGGTGAAAAAAGTTTGGACGCCCTGCATGCAGACACTTTCGAGACATACACAGAGAGACTATCCTGCGCACTACTTACATAAACATGGCATTACACTGAAGAAAGTAAACGGGAACGGGCATAAACGCTACATAACGGCATCAAACAAGGGAAAAAAATAAATATTGACAATTGATTCTTATTCATGTTTAGTTCCTTTGTTACTTTATTACCACGCTCTGTCTCTCTAATGGTGTAACAAACATTTTGCGAAATTTGTCGTCGTAGATTTGACATTTCATATTTTTGAATTTTACTTTTTCATTATTTATTATTTTTCTGTTTACTCCTTATCATACTACAGTTACAGTCTACTAACTGCGGTCCCCTGTTGTTTTATCGTTAAAAATGTCTGGTTTTAATGTCACTTTTTATAATCATACGAGCTCTTGACATAACGCTACTAAAATACCTTGTTATTACCACGCATTATAATCCTAATGAAGACGTGAGACAATAATATGCGTTTTGGCGAAGACCTTACCATATTTTTATTTATTTATTTCGCCCTGATTGCTTCACTGTTAATTAATGACAGTAATATTTAAGTGCGTGTGCGTGAAGTAAACAGGTGTATCTTTAATAAAGCAGTAGTCTTCCATTTCCCTTAGAAGGCACTCACATAGAGAGAGGTACACCGAGGACCTGATGCAGTAATTAACAGTACAATCCAAAGTGCTGAGCGTGCGTGTTTCCTATATTAAGTTTGGTGGTGTTTTTATGAAATGCCATAGCTCTGTGGATGTCAGAGCTCTGAGGACCCACATGTCTAAAAGTGAGTAGTCGTCATCTTTTCTAAGGCTAATTGCCACTGCAGCTGCTGGCTTTGATAAATAATGTGTGTGTGGAAAATTAAGAGGAAATTCAGTGCAATCTCAAATAGGTGTGTGTGCTTTAATTTTAATTTTAATTTTAATTTTGGTATATTGTTAATAAAAATATACCAGCATACAGAAAACGTGTTTTATTGTAAACTGAATTACAAATTAGTTTGACTTTAATAGATTCAATTCAGTTTGTTTGTTTGTTTTTATTTATATCCCCATTACCTACTACTTACCGACTTAACTATTCTTCCTGGAGTCGGTGACAGTCTATAAATGGATTTTTATTTATTTTATTTTTTTTGTTTCAGATGCACTATTAGAATACATAATTTAAATAATTGTTTGCATTAAAGCCATAGAATGTACGCTTGTATCCCAATTATGATTTTTATGACTATAATAATAATAATAATAATAATAATAATAATAATAATAATAACAATAATAACAATAATAATAATACTATTTTATTATATTTAATAATAATAATAATAATAATAATAATAATAATAATAATAATAATAATAATAATAATTATATTATTATTATTATTATTATTATTATTTATTATTATTATTATTATTGATATTATTATTAATACTACTACTACTACTACTACTACTACTACTACTACTACTACTAATAATAATAATAATAATAATAATAATAATAATAATAATAATAATGCTAACTACTACTACAATAATAATAATAATAATAATAATAATAATTTGATTATTTTCATTATTATTATTATATATTTGTGTTTATTGGGGTGTGCAAAAATATTGAAATATCGAAATATCGTATCATTTAATGTGATGATACAGTATCAATATCGGGGACTGCTGTATCGATATATACAAGAGTATTTTTTGGGTATATTTTACTAAATTATTTCATTACAGCACTACAGTTTTGTTGCTTGTTTAGAGGAAAGAAACTCGTTTATGCAATAAATTTGACAATTTCACTTTTTTCAAGAGCAAAATGCGTGTTTTATATTAACTTTGCAAATTAAGTGGTTTAATAAAAACTTATTAACAAAAGCCATTATCTTTTATTGAACCATATCAAATCGATTTGCAATATATCATATCAAATCGAAAGTGTAATCGAGATATGCATCGTATTGTGGCGTATGTATCAAGATATGTATCGTATCGGCAACTTCTTGATGATACCCAGCCCTAGTGATTATTGCACTGAAAACAGGCACACACACACACACACAAAAAGCATCATTGCTGATAGCGGGCTTGCATCTTCGTGAACCTGACTATTATTTTTTGACCTCCTTCTTGTTCCCATGTAAATCTGTGCTTCTGCTTTTATCAACCTGTGTGTGTTTGCGTGTTCCTGTGTGTGTTTTGTTTTTGTTTTTCATTCATTATTACAACAGCTTCTACCTGAGGATTTATATTGTTGTTTTATTGTTTTATTAGGATCCCCATTAGCTCCCCTTATAATGCGCACTAGTCTGGGGTCCTCTATATAAACAATAACTCCGTCTCCTCATATCGGTGGTGTTAATTGAATAGCGTGAAAGTAAAAACAAAACCAAAACACACTTGGGAACTCTATCTTGTGAATAGTACAAAATGCATCATAAAAGACTACATATTCAACGCAAGAGCTATGTATGTTATATTTGAAATATTTATTTAAGAAACTGTGTAGATGTAGATGACATCTCCTCCCTCCTCATCCCTCATTCAGCGCTTAAACACCACAGCCCTAAAAGCACCACACCTTCACATATGGACATCTTTAGCCTGATACCATCTAAACTTCTATTACATTCCTGCAGAGCCCAGACTAAACAGAGCTTTGTGTAAATTGTCTAATGGGG